ACAAAGAACTAGAATTGGACAATGTGGGGTGGTTTGATTGTGATCGGGTGTTCAAAACAGACCAGAATTTGACCTTTGACCTTGGCCCAATCAACATTTCCGTCCCACTTTCTAACTTCGTCTATAGATCATCTTGGAATCCAGATAAATGTGGCGTCTACATATATGATGACTCCAATGCAGGAGGTTTGGAAGGAATTGGGCTTCCTTTCCTCAGAGAGGTTTACTTTGTCAAGGATTTGGAAAAGAAAACCATTGGCATTGCACCGGTGAAGCACACTGACGATACCGATATCGTTGATTTTTGGTTCTGAATTTGATAGTGTATAATGTTCCGTAATTTTTCTCAAAGCAAGTTTGAATTTTCAGCTTATTCATCACTTGTAGTTTTCGACGTCATAGGTTAATGTTACAAATGTCTGATGTGCCGTCTGAAGTGCTTTGTTTCTTTTCCTCTTTCTTTAGAAAACGGTTCTCGCAACGATATCAATATTAGTAGCCATACACTAAAAAGGAGATTCTATTGGGTTTGTTACCTGGTAAATATCACCTTCCATCAGCTGTGAGCGCCTTTGCTTAGCCTAAATGCTAGTTTTGAACTTTCTTTCAATAAAGCGATTCTCTGTGCGTGTATTGCGGCACAAGAATTTCTTTGGTTGCAAAAATGCTTTCTTTGTCCTGCACATTGAACGCTCTCATAAAAAGGTTACAACTTCGTTTACTAGGTGCTTACAGTTTATATTGTGTGAGCCACTCCTATATGTGTGTGCTTACTACTGGGATATACCAACTCTGCTAAGCCTACTATCGACGTTGGGATAAAGAAAAGTCCCAAATTACTTTTCATTTACTTTATTGTGTTATACAAACCTCCCCTCATTGTTACAAAAGTTGCAAAACTTTGATATTCTTCCTTACTTTACAAATCCTATAAATTCTCCCAACACAATTCAAAAAATTGCAAAAAACTAAATACTTTCCTTTTTCCTACCAATCACCCGTTTACCCATATTGTTGATTTGATATTGATTTTCACCCACCATGCCAGAAAAGATTATCAACTATATCCCAGCTGACAAGTTTTTTGAGCTATTCGAGTACAAGAAAGTTGACGTGCAAAAGGTTATCCCTGGATTTGTTCCTGGAGGTGGAGTTATGTTGATGTCACCAGCATTCCAATCAACACCAACCACCATTACCACCAATGAACAGGAGAACAAGTCCGTGATTTATTTTGATCAAGTGCAATTCAAGTCTACTGAACCACCACCACCTTCACTTACCCAATCAGTAGCAGCCAATAATGTATACACTATCAAATTGGGAAGCTTTGATTCAACCAACTTTCAACATACCAATAAAAATTTTGTCACTACCAAATGTTTAAACAGCAACCAAGGTTCGGAGAGAACGGAGGAGGAGGGTTTGAAGGACAATGATGATGTGACTGGTGTCATTGATTTCTTGGAGAGTATTGAAGTCGATCTGGATGCTGCTTGTTTGAATGTTTCCCCGTTTATTTCCCCAATTGTTTCCCTGTTCGTTTCCCTCCTGTTTGATGTTTGTTTGGATACTGAGACTGATGAGTCGTTGAGTGATTCAGGATTGGATGAAGATATGTATCACGAGATGAGAAGAGAAGATTGCAGAAAGACTGCAAGATCGCATTGGTACAAGAAGGAAGAATCCAGACTCGAAAAATGCTACTTGTCTGATAAATTTAGGACCATTGGGATTTCGCTTTTTGATAGAGTAGCAGACTCAGGTCATGTTTCTGTTGGTTTTGGTTGTTTAATTTCCGAAGAAGAAAAGTGGCAACTTGGCAACCAAAAATTTACCACAGTTTATGATTTTGAGCACTACATCAATGAATACTACCAGCATGACAAAAGCATCAACAATAACAATGCTGTAATTGAGACCACTGAAACAATAGCTCCTGGTCCTGATGATGAAAAAGAGGAGGAGATTGAAGGCTACTGTCTTTCTAAAGTGACATCCTCGGTATATTCCGAATTTGAATCTGAGTCGGCGATTGCAGCACAGTATGCATCAAGAGAAAGAGAGGTAATCCATAATGACGGCTATTCCTACGAACAGGACAGTACTGATTTGGCATACGAATTGTGGCTTGAAAAATTGGCTGTCAATGAAAATCGTGGTGCTGTTAATAGAAAACCCATTGCAGTGGAACTTATTTTACCTGAAGACCAGACCCTAGTGGATGCATCTGGTGAAGAGGTCGAAGAGGGGCAACATTTGTATGAAGATGGGAATGCTGTTGCTGATAACGAGACCGAAAACGATGCAATTCCAGAGGGGGAGGAGCTTGAGATTTATGAAAATCCTCGCGACTCCATCTACTATTGGGGT